AATTAAAAAAAACCAATTGAGTACGGAACGGGACCTAGCTTGTTTATTACAGCTTCATAATTAATTTATTAGAAACGGTTCTCATTTGTCTGCAACTCAGACGAAGGATACGTATTAAAAAAAAAAGATTATCTTGCACTATTTGCACCGCTGTGGGCGTAGAGAGCGACCGACTGATTCTGTCGGCCTGCAGTTGGGAGTCTGTCCGCTGGCAGATCAGGAAACCCGTATTCCCTCTTGACGGCCAGAACATTCATAAAGGAATTCTCGAATTGTTCAGTCTTCATATGAAAATGACAGACCATCCTGGTTTCCTATTTTGAGTAAGGTTCCGAATTCCATTATCAAAGATGAGTTTTGTTTCCATCTCCTTGCTTGCCTGAATTGTTATATGAGTTTAGTTGCTTTCAATAATTTAAACGGATCATCGATGTCACAATATAACGTTTCGCCTTGGTGGTGGTCTTCTACGTTATAGTGGTTAAGCAAAATGAGAGGTGTGCAAGCGAAGAGAACCTCAATGAGCTACTTAGCCCGATTAGGTGAATCGTTTATGCATCGGTGCGAAAAACCGCAATTATTGTAATCTTTAGTCTGTGCACGTTGGTAGTGATTCGATTTATTTCGCCAGTTTTCGCCTTGAGTCATTTCCATTAAACATTACGACCACAAAGGATATAACTAAACCTGTGCTGATTTTTTTTTTTCGGTCGATGTCTAATTCAAAAGTGAATAACAATTATTTTGATAAAATATTATTATATTAAGAAACAAATGTATTCTTCGGGTTGAAGTCAAAATAGTAAGACCTGTGCTTTCTTAGAACTAATCTTCTTTCAGGATTTTCAAGACGTCATCTTGACAAGGGCGGATCCAGAACACAATTTTGGGGGGGGCCAAAAAAAAATTTTGGTCCCCCCAAAAAAGTGGGTCTAAAAAATTACGGCGTGGGGTTCGGGGCCGGTCAGGGCCCCGAAAAAATTTTGGATTCTAGATGCTCTGTTGTGCGATCTGAGGCAATTTCTGACAACTTTAACCAATTTTTTTGAGGAAAAGATGGTGGTGTACTCATTGCCTGCCTTTATTGCGATGTCACATTAAAAAAAAAAAAAAATTGGTTTCGTTTTTTTGGGGGGGGGGGCCATGGCCCCCTTTGGCCCCCCTGGATCCGCCCTTGCATCTTGAAAAGGTAAGTGACAGTAAAACCTGAAATTTACGCATGATTCTATGACATGACAAAGTGGAGCATGACTTTTTAATTGTAAAGTGCTTCGATAATAGTTGATAGAGTGAAAAGCGCTTAGATCGCTCAAAAAAATCAGTTCTTCCCTTTTTATAATTATCATTTATTTTCCTATAATTTATCGGGGGGGGGGGGGGGGGTTCGGGGGAGAAGGGGGATGTCCGTGTCCCCCTCCCCTCGTTGCCCACCTGCAATTTCCTTCAAGTGCCCTCCTTGAAAAATGTGTGCACCCCGGGCGCCCCTCCATTAATTTAACCCTAATTACGCCACTGTTTACTAACCTCGATTTGTGCATCTGAAGTGTTCCAATGGGTGTTGAGATTAACATAATGATTTAAATGTTATCAGCAATGTCATCAACGCTGAACAAGACTTTGGCCTACCCGAAAATTATCGTTATTGATGGCTATCTTAATATGGTTTTTTTTTTATTATTTCTTCACCAAGCTGTTTCCACTGAAGTCAATTGGGAAATTCTGATGTATGCCTTTACGTTGACATCACTATGACAACAAAATACAAATAGTTGTATAGCAGTAACTAAGGATTTCGCCCACCGCAGCAGTCCGTCCCCGCAACAGCTGTACACTCTCCGGCACCGTAGAGCTGTTTTTCACCAATCGCCGTTGGGGTCCGTTCCCGTTTCTTTCCGACCGTCTCTGCGAAGCGATCACCCGTACTGTGCCTGTGTAGCTTGTACTATTAGTTGATTCGCTTCCACCGGTGAGTGTGGTGACTAGTATATAGACTTTGTGAAACATAGACCAGCCCGATTAACAATAACATAAATTTTTCACGACCGCTACCAAGGAAAGACTCAGGTTGAAAAAAGAAAAGAAAAGATGCCATGAAGTGAAAAAGAGACTGAATAAACCGGGTTTGTGACTGTTTGACTGTCATTGCAAGTGATCCAGTTCTCAACCATCTTCATTATAACAATATTGTGGACTCCGACATGAAGTTATTAACTAAGTATTAGGGAACGCAGAAATATAACAAACTTATAACCATAGCCAAAATCTTAATGTGTATTGTACCTTACAAAAAATAAGCTGAACATATACCATTCTCAATGACTTAGTCTACATATAAGCCAGGGATACTAATTCACTTACCAGTTCCTAATGTCTTTTAACTAGATTTTTAAAACCACTGTTTAAAGTGTAAAGGTTCTATAGGCCAGACGACTGAAAATGAAGCAAATTTGTAAATGTGCAGCAATAGCAGAGACATTGCTGTCATAAAACTGCCGTCCACAGCAAGTTACAAAACATACTCACATGCTTACGTCATTTTCTCTAAAGTAATGACACTATTTTGTTTAGTGAGCAAATGGATGCGTCTACTTACAAAAGGACTATTCTTCGAGCTGAGGTTTCTATGACTCGGGTACTCTAAGCTTTACACTTTGAACACTCTACACTGGAAAAATGTTATAATTTGTGAGTATTATACCTAAAATCTCATTATTTTTATCATACATTCCCTCCTCTCAGTATTCCATATTCCATTGTTTGCTTTCTCTTTGATTGACGGCAATGTTTGATCTGAGAAATCCCAGGCACAAAAAAGGAGCAAAACCACACATATTAAACACTCAAACAAATATTACCACACAGTCTTAGCTATGAGATTACTATTGAAATAAAAATTTATAAAGAGCAGGGCCTATCTTGTTCATTACAACCTAATGATTAATAAATAGAAACGGTTCACATTTTGTCCAATTCTCTTACACTCTTTACATTGCTTGACTGACTGACTCTGTCGGCCGGCAGTGTTCGCTGACAGATGAGGAAACCCGTATTCCCTCTGGACGGCCCGTAGATTTATAAGGGAATTTCAGAATTGTCATCTGAGGTTTGAAAAGGTTGTATTGGATCCTAGAGTTTTCATTTTTCAGGCTTTGTATGAAAATGACAGACCATCCTCGGGGTTTCGTATTTTGACTATATAAGGTTCCTCATTCCATTATGAAAGATGAGTTTTGAGGTAAATGAGGTAAATGTGTCCGGGGGACACATTTACCAAGGGGGACAGAATTACCTCTCACACCGGCACCGTACATCTATTTTTTCACCCATCACCGTAGCGGTCCGCTCCTGCTTCTGTCCGACCGTCTCTGCGAAGCGATAGCCCGTACCGTGACCACTCTGTGTAGCTAGAACTATTAGTTGAGTTGGTTCCGCCGGTGAATGTAGTGACAGATAAAGTTTAGGGTTGCCACCTCTGGATATCCCGAGTAAAAGTCACAGACAATTAAAGGGAAAATACAACATTTGCAAACATCAAAAAATAAAACTACCGAATCATTTTGAAATACCTTGCTGGACTGTTAGTGAATTACAGTGTAAAGCATCCTGTAAAATCATGGCACCTGGTATACTGTCATTTTCAAGAAAAGTGGTATTTTTGTATCAATTTCCAACGCTGATCGGCCGATCAGCGTTGGAAAAAACTGGCTTTTTTTTCAAATACTGGCCCCAGTTGACCATCGCACTTGTTTGCAATCGATTACACACCTATGAACGGGTACAAGCCAGCTAGACTAGTTCCCTGGCCTTACAATTCCCCAATATATGTAAACTGCTCTGTTTCTTCTTAAATGGAGTCAGGGAACCAGACTACAGGAAAATGATTGTTTTTCTTGGTTTTTATAGCATTTTCGAACCCAAAACCTCAAAAAAGTCAGTGTAACTATATTTGCTATATATTTCTAACCCCCCAATTCCATCCATTTCTGAAAATTACAGCAAAAGCAAATGATGTATATTCCCTTTAAGTACTCCTTTCCTTTGACGGTACCAATGTCTGCTCCAACTCGTTGCCATGCTCGAACTGGTATCTCATGTGGATTTAGTGGTTCCACGGATTGACTGGGTTGATGTTTCTGGCAAGCATCGCATTGGCTTACCATGTCGCTGATTTCGGCGTTCATGCCTGGCCAGTAAACGACATCACGGGCACGACGGCGGCATTTCTCTATTCCCATATGCCCCTCGTGAACCTTGAGCAATACATCTTTGCGCAAGACTCGAGGGATAACGATTCTCGTACCCTTGAATATGACATCCTCGGCCACTGTCAGTTCAGCTCGAATATTCCAGAAGGGGCGAATGTCACTTGGACATTGTTGGCTCGCCTCTGGCCAATCCTGTAGTATTACCTGCTGCAGGTTGGTCAGCTGGTCGTCAGCTTGAGTAGCTTCACGTATCTGCTTCATTCTGTTGTCAGATACAGGCATTGTCTCGATGATCATGTCTACAAATGCCTCGACGACATCATCAAGGCTTTGGACTTGTGCTGCTTCCCCTTGATCAGCATTTCGGTCTGGTGCACGCGATAGGGCGTCTGCGACCACCAGTTGCTTCCCAGGGGTGTAGACTACGTGCAAGTCATACCTCTGTACCCTGAGCAGCAACCGTTGCACTCTGAGTGGGCAATCGTTCAGTGGCTTCTCTAACAGACTGATGAGAGGCATATGGTCCGAAGACTATCCCAATAAGCTCCTTCTCTATCTGCGCATAGCGAGTATCTGCGCTTGTCATGGCTCTCGATGCATAGGCAACGGGTGACCACTTGTCGTCATGAAGTTGCAGGATCACTGCTCCCAGACCGTCCTTACTTGCATCGGATGACAGGCGTATTGGGCAATTTGAGTCATAGTACTGAAGAACTGGGTCCGTAGATACTGTAGCCTTCAGGTCGCTCCATGCCCTCTCCTGTTCTGGACCCCACTGCCATTCATTGTCATCTTTCAGCAGTGCTCGAAGCGGGGCTGATTTTTGCGGAGTCCCGCGATCCACTTGGCCAAATATGTTACCATGCCCAAGAAGCGCTGAAGCTCTTGCTTGTTTTCTGGTTTGGGCAGGTTCACTTGACGTGCTGTTTCAAGTGTCAGTCGTAGGCTGCGATCATGGGCCTCTTTGGTTGCTCCATAGATGATGATGTCGTCAGCGAAGGTACTGACACCATCGATTGACTCGAAGATTTGGTGAACAGTTTTATGGTAGACCTCTGGTGCTGATGATATGCCGAACGGTAGTCTTGTATATCTGAACCTACCGAACGGCGTGTTGAATGTACACAAGCGACTGCTTTTGTCGTCTAGTTGAAGCTGCCAAAATCCTTGTGATGCATCGAGTTTGGAGTAGTATGATGCACCAGCAAACTGTGACATGACTTCTTCTCGTGTGGGCATTTTGTAGTGCTCTCTTTTAATGGCACGATTGAGATCTCTCGGATCCATGCACACACGAATGTCTCCATTCTTTTTCTTGACAACGACTAGGGAATTTACCCAGTCGGTAGGCTCATCCACTCTGCTGATGACGCCAAGACTCTCCATACGTTCAAGTTCTCTCTTAAGACCATTATGGAGTGCGAATGGTACTTTGCGGCAGGCATGTACAACTGGCTGTGCTGTCTCATCAATGATGATTGTGTGCATCCCTGGCAAACAACCCAGTCCTTCGAATATGTCACCGTATTCGTGTAGCAGGTTCGCGTAGTTGTCGTTGGGGTCTTTGGGTTGCTCCTGATTCGTGACAGCACAGGCTACTTTGACAAGCCCTAACTGTTCGCATGCTTGTTTATCACCTGGGACGACGAAGAACAGCACTTTGGGTTTTCGTGCTGCATGGTCCACAGTCACTACACACTTGCCTTTGACGATTATCTGGCTGTGGTTGTAGGCTTTCAGTGTCTCTGTGGCTGGGTGTAGTTGTGGCTTATTTTTCAGCCGACTGAAGTCTGTCTCTGGCAAAATGTTCACCTGTGCCCCTGTATCCAATTTGACAGGTATGATTGTTCCATTCATAGCGAGGGGAAATATCCAGTCATTTGCTTGTGTCTTGACTGAATCTACTGTAATGGTGTCCAGAAAAAAGTCAGTGTACTCGTCATTGTCTACTGTGTGCACTTGGCCCTGTGCGCGTTTCTTGAAGCAACACTTGGCAAAATGATTTTTGCCTCTACAGTAAGCACATGTTTCACCGTACGCTGGGCATTTTCCCGAGACATGCCAGTTGTCGCAGCGTCTACAGTGATGTTTGTCACTAGTTTGTTGCTGTTGATCATTTCTGGGCTTCCAGCGACTGGGCTTTCCTTTAGGTGCATTCTGTGGCTTAGCTGTTGCCTGGGGTTTTCTATTAGCTCCCTGCGGTTTTGGTTTTGCAGATGGATTTTTCTGCACGGCATGGACTGTTGGAGTTGTTGATTGTAGCTCCTTTGAACGCTCTTTCACTAGTTCAGCAGCCTTGCAGATTTTGACTGCTTTTTCAAGAGTTAAGTCTTCCTCTCGAAGCAGGCGTTCTCTGGTTACATTAGCGACGATGCCACATACCAGTCTATCTTTGACCAGCGAATCCTGTAGTGTGCCAAATTCACACTTTTTGCTGTGCTTTTTCAGTCTAGCGAGTTACGCGTCAATGCCTTCACCAGGTTGCTGGCAACAGTTATTGAAGTGAAATCTCTCCAGTGTCAAGTTGGTCTTGGGGGTGCAGTATTTCTCTAGTTTGGCCATTACTTTTGCCAGGCGCATGTTATCCCCTTCCTGGTCGCCCTCTTCATCCCATTTGAATGTATTGTAAACGTCAAGGGCTTGCTCACCGATAACATGTAGCAGGATCGACGTTTGTTGTCTGTCGTCCTTCTTCGATGCCCCAATTGCATCGATGTATAACTGAAAACGTTGTTTGAACCTTTTCCAGTTTTCCGCCACATTTCCGGTAAGTTCAAGTGCGCTTGGCGGCGGCAGTACATCCATTACTGCAAGAATAGTTGATCTATTGCGGTATTGTACAGTACGTAATACACACGCTGAATGTACGTGGAATTTTCCAGAATAAGCGACAGATATTCTGCCACTTTGCACCTATTTTCGCTGGTTTTGCAGTCACTGTCTCTACTGAAATACCTGTTCAGGTGAGTCCCAAGGGTCCTTTAATACTTCTGACACCATGTGGTATTACTGACAAGGCTGGAGAGATTATATATCGGCTTCAACACGGAGTGATTTATTGACAATCGTCTGATTGCTTTACAGGGAGGTTGCACACATAACACACTAGTACAATTGTGTACGTTGCATACGTAACCAAGGATAGACATGAATAGACTTGTACCAGTCATGCGTTATATCACAACAGAGGTAGATTTGCCCCACTACTATCCTTAAAATCAGACAATGTGGAAGAAATCTACTCCAGGTTTAAGGAGGCTACGAACAAGACAACTGAAGTAGCAGTTGGTTTCAAGAAGCGCAAGCGAGTCGAAGGCTTGTCACCAGAGATAGAGGCTGGATGTGAACAACGCAGACAAGCCAGACTAAAGATGCTTACAAATCCAACGAACAAAGAAACCCGGGAAAACTACAAACGTGCTAATAAATTAGTGACAGCTGCAGTCAAACAGCAGAAAACAGCTCTACTCCAACGCAAGATAGAACAACTGGAAGCAGACTTCAGAAATAACAACACCCATTCAAGAGCGTCAGAGAACTTGAAGGAAGACCCAGAAAAGGGCTGAGCGCAGTAAAGGACAGAGAAGGTAACACCCACACTAATAAAGAAGAAGTTCTAAAGTGCTGGAAAGATCACTTCTGTACACACCTCAACACAAGCTTCCCCCATGAGCCAGAATCCTTACAAGAAATACCTGCAGCCCTATCAGATGAAGACACGACGACCCCAGCAGAAATAGCTCCAGAAGAAATACTCCGAGCAGTCAAAAAGCTGAAGCTACATAAAGCCACTGGTATAGATGCCATCACAGCAGAAGTCTTAAAAGCGGGAGGAGAACCGATGCTGAAGATGCTGTTAAAGATATTCAGTATCATCTGGACTACCGCAAAAACGCCAAAAGACTGGTCACAAATGCTAGTTACACCTAGTTACAAATCCAGAAAATTTCAGAGCCATTGCTCTACTGTCAATACCTGGTAAAGTCTTTAGTCAAGTTCTTCTCAGGATGAAGAGGAAAAGGGAAGAAGCAATAGGAGAAAGCCAGTTTGGATTTAGACCGGGTCGAGGTACTGTCGATGCAATATTCATTGTCAGACAAGTGATGGAGAAAGCCCAAGAACACCATGTGCCTCTGCACTTCGACTTTGTCGATTTCAAAGCGGCTTTCGACACAATCTGGCGGAAAGCCCTTTGGAAGATGATGCTGGCCATTGGGGTGGACCCGAAAATAGTACGCATCATAGAAGGTCTGTACAACCACACCAAGTGCGCAGTATTGATAGAGGGTCAAATCACGGACTGGTTCGAGGTGAGGGTAGGAGTAAGACAAGGATGCCATCTCTCCCCCACGCTATTTAACATCTTCCTCGAGTTTGTCATGAAAGAACTGAAAGAGCTAGACGCCTCTTTAAACCTCACTGACTCCGGCTGCATAGACATCAGATATGCGGACGACACAACCCTGCTGGCAGCCACCTCAGACTCTCAACAGAGCAGCTAGATGAAGCATGTAAGAAATGGGACATGAACATTAATGGAGCGAAATGTAGAATCTTATCCCCATCAGATGAAACAATTACTCTTGATGGGATACAGTTTGACTCCACGAGTAAATTTGTGTTCCTCTGAAGCATGGTACCAGGCAGCTCTGAAGACATAGAAAGAAGAATTTCCCTAGCTTCATCAGCATTCGGGAGACTAAAAACATCAGTCTGGAATAACCGAAACATCAGTACCTCCTTAAAGGTACTCATCCTTCCTATCGCGACATACGCTGCAGAAACATGGACCCTCAAAGCAGAAGACCATCGTAAGCTGGAGTCCTTCGAAATGCGCTGTCTAAGAGCTATCCTCGGAGTGACTCTCCGAGATCGACACACCAACATCACAGTGCGGGAACAGCTGAAAGTGAAATTCACGATCACAGAAGTCATCAGGCGAAAGCGGTTGAAGTGGTTTGGCCATGTAGCAAGAAGGCCACCGGACAGCTATGTCGCTAGAGCATACCGGCAGGACTTCACGAACCCAAGACCTCGTGGCAGACCTCCAAAGAAGAGGATCTCAAAAATTCGTGAGGACACCGGCTTTCCTATAGCAACAGCCGAACGCCGAGCATCTCACCCGTGAGGGCATTCCAGGTTGTCTACAACAGGGAAATAAAGGGAAATAAAGTCCGAAATCCGTACCAAGTTGAAAAATAGTAGCCTCCACTCAAGCCTGGAAATTTAACCATACTCCTAGGAAAGCGCACAAAGTACCCAAGAAAGTTGTGTAAACAATATTGGTATCATGTTGTAGCCCGGTTCATACACGGCGCGAAAGTGAAAGCGAACGCGAATGTGTGACGTCATTGCAAGTATTCGTGCTGCGAATTCGTAAAAGTTGAACATCATGACTTCAACTTGGGCGAATTTCGCAGCGAATGTTTCATGACGTGAGATTCGCTACGCATGTGCTTTCGCATGAAGTATGAACCGGGCTTTGCGCGAATGTGCTCCCGGCTGCATTCGAACTGCATTCGAATTGACCAATCACTGCGTTAGTCCTGATTTGGGAACGAAATGACGTCACGATTAAGTAAAGTTGACTCCAAGACAAGATAAGTTTGCGGTAGCACCATGTGAATAAATTTTTTTTCTGAGTATGTGTTTGTAGCCAAGGGAAGAGTTTTTGGTTTGGTCTAGCAGGGAACTCCTCATGTGGCCGAAGGCTACTTATAGTTAATAAATATTGATGTGAAGCGAGTGGACACGGAGAGATGACTAGATTTGATTAATTTATTCGGATGAATCTATACAAAATATACAGTTGTGGCTCTCTCGAATATATATACCAAAAAAAACGACAGTCAAATGGGTATACAGTTGTACGTCTGTGGAATTAAAGAAAACAAAAATGGACATCTCATTAGTTTGTTATCATTTAAAAGTACATGTACATAGCAATTCAATTCAGCATTTACAGCTTAGCTCCGCAATGTAAATACGTTAATTTATATGTAACAGTACCATACAATCCTGAAAGAGGTTCAATATATTTTCTTCTCAGAGTTCCAAGGATATGCAATAAATGCATTAAAAAATCCCAAATCCATCCATTAATAATAGGCCAGCGAATAATTATTATTGTCAGAGTCCGTGTCCTTTAGGACACACCGTAGTGTTTATGCAAAACCGTGATTCCATCATGTCTATTTATATCACATGTGACTTGCCATCTTATAATGCGCTGTGCGAAACGGTCCTTTTCGGGTCCGCCACCAAACGTGTAGGTAGTTAGATTAAATCGTGTCCCAAACTCTAACTATTAAGGATAAATTTGCTGGATATATTACATAATTACTATGCCATATTCTCTCATTATCATCCCTGTTTCCATTGTGCAAATCTCAAGTCCATGTGCTGAATCGAAAAAGGGTAATTTGGGATTTATTTATCGTATCAATCTGGTGAAAACGTTTGCGGGTAAAGCACATGGTTGTATACAACGACTGTTTCATGTCGGGTACATAAAATTACTGTTGCATGTTTTAATCTTAGCTTTTTGCTGATAAAATTGGAAAAACTTCAACATCCAGGAATTTAATTATTTAACTGAAGCTATTTGGAATGTGTACATATATTTGTAAAACTTGCCATCGTGGAAACTGGTTGCCATCCATTTAATTTTTCCTTGCTTAACAAAATCCAATCAGTTACAAAACTAATAAGATAATTCTAACATTTAAACTACTATTTGGCGGAGCCTCATGGTGCATAATACTGCCCATGGTCTCTGAAACAGTGCTTTAGTTTACTTAAGCATCAGGTAATAAGAGAAACTTGAAGAAGCACGTTCTACTTTAGTTATTGCTTTACATTTCTTGCTAATTCACCTTACAATTATGGCCAATTATGCCTAAAGCTGGTGGGAAAAGGTGATATTTTATAGCATGTATTCCCTTTAATATCGAGAACACTTCTCTTTCAAGCATAATTACAATTGAAGAGAATCAAACCCTTTGTATTATGTGAAAATCTATCCATAGTATCTTTACACAAGGCTTCTACAAAATTTACAATAAAAAATGGAAAGAAAGATATAAAAATTAGGTGTGTACTCACCGCCTAGGCTGAACAACGGTCGTGCCACCACCAAACGAAGGGGAAATTGTCCCCAACTAGCTGTAGTTGAGCTATAATCAGAGCACTTCTAAATTGTAGGTGTGGTCTGATCGCAAGCAAGTGGATGAGTGTCTCTAGCAATGCCTTGTCATGACACGAAAGCTAAGTTATGCAGCACGCAATGCAGCTCAGAAAGTGTTAACAATATGCTGGAATGCAAGGTATGTTGGAATGTTCCTGGCCAATGTAGCTAGTTATGCTAGAATGTGATTGCAGGAAAGTTAAGGAACCAAGCGAGGGCGTTGCAATAAAAAGTTTCTGTAACTACAGAGGGCGCTAATTATGTTATCAAAATAATGGCTCATCATATTGTACAGCCTATGTACTATGCTTATGATTATATAAGAAATGTTACCGAGACCTGTCTGTTGTAAAACACGACAGGTCACACTCACCCCCTAATTTAAAAAAAGAGAAAACTATCCGAGGAATAAGTAGACTATGAGGAATAAGTAGCAGTAGTTAGATGGTAGTATGTACAAGTTCAAATTTCTGCCTCTACAAATGCCAACTTATCCTAGAATCTTCCTAGAGGATACTGCATGGTGAATACCTAGTGATCAATATCAATTAGAAATATCTCGTAGTCCAGACTCAGTATATCACTAAGAGCGAGTTGACCTCATGGACTAATATAAAGA